TTCGATCATGGAGGCTCAACATCACATGTAGGCAGGGGCGGACTGACCATTTAGGCACTCAGGCACTGCCCTAGGGGCCCGGGTCAGTAGGGGGGGCCCCATGAGATGCCTCTGGTACCTTTCATGGGCTTTTTTGGGTGTGGTTTGAGTGTGGGCGAGGACACAGGGGCCCCATGATTTCCTATTGCCCGGGGGCCCCGTGAGTTTTCAGTCCGCCCCTGCATGTAGGCATTACTAAAGGAGGTCCACATGCAAGTACAGCCTGCCTAGGCACGCCTGCTCCTCCAGACTGACATCCACCCATCAGGGCATTTTATATTTGCTTACCTCCTTCCGAGAGCCAGCCAACTGCTTTCATCAGTGGGAGAAGCACTGAGGCAGGGTGCTGTGATGTTTTCAGGAAGCTATGTACAGCATCGTGCTTGCCCCTTCCACTAGCCACAATGTGCCTGCATTACATACAGAAGCACTGAGACCCAGTGATGATATCATAAGGTATGGCAAGGAAAACAGAAAAGTTTTATTTAATAATTTAGTTATCATGTTGATAGGGGGAAGGGAAAATCTAAGTGGATCAAGCTTCAACTTTGATTCACAATCAATCCTAGTTTTTAAGCAAGATATAGGCTGCATTAATATCTGCAGGTTTAGTAGGCACGCAACTAAACACACAGAACACGTACAAAATTTAAAAATGCACCACAAACATGCTGCAATTGCAGATTGGGCTTGCAAGACATTAATTGTTAATGGCATCCCAAGCGCAGGTAACAGACAAGCATTTTGCCATGCGTTTCTCCCACTATAAACATGCCCAAACCCGCACTGAAAAAACGCCCGAAGCTCCATGACCGACCTGCACTTGAATGGGCTGCCCTACATGCAATAGGGAAACAAAGAAACACAGCGCCTCTAAGTGTGTACTGTGAAGGTATTTAATAGAAAGATAAGTAGTAACTCACATCTTAGAATTTAAAAACAGGCTCATGGGTGAGAGGGTGAGACGTCTGTAGCCAGATGTAGTTGTGTGTCTGATTCAGAGATCCAGAGAGGAGATTGATTGAATCCGCCAGCAGGTGGTGCTGTGCATGTGCAACATGGATGGTAAGCCTGGTGGAATCTCCAAGGTGTCTGCCAGCAGATGGCGCTGGGTATATGCAGCATGGATGGTGAAGCCTGGCAGAGTCTCCAAGATGTCCGGGATCAGCACATGTGGTGTCTGACGCAGGGGCGGACTGACAACTCATGGGGCCCCCTGGGCAATAGGGGATCATGGGGTCCCTGTGTCCCTGCCCAAACTCAAAAAAGCCTATGAAAAAGGTACCATCTCATGGGGCCCCCTACTGACCCCAGGCCCTCGGGCAGTGCCCGAGTTACCAAATCGTCAGTCCACCCCTGGTCTGACGTCATCAAAATGTGACGTGTTTCTGAGCATGTGCAGGACGAGATGAGTCCAGGCACGCTGTTTCATCAGGCAGGCCTTAGTGCCTACTGGACTACCTTCACCCCTGCCCATTTGGAACTCATCAAACATATATGGACTGTCACACCATGTGCCTGTTATCCCTTTTGTATTGCCCTACATGCAATGCATGTTAACCTGTGAGAAATACGGAAAAAAAAAAAAAAAAACAAACGCGAGCAGAACGATGTGTTCCCATTACGCTCAGTTGCAAATGGGGCCTTGGAGTTCCTTTCAGTTGAACTTCATGCAAAAAACTCTACGATTAGGCTCCACTAGGGGGCAAAACATGTCAGAGAGGGAAGGGGGTTGGAGTGTTAGTGTCCATGCTGGAAATGGAACAATAAAGCTGCTTTTAGCCCAAGGCTTTGAGTGGGTTTCCTTATAGTGATAATAGCGGCAAACCTGAGTAATGTGTGTTGAAACAGCAACGTAGTCTCCATCAGAAGACCATGTAGCAGGGTGACAACAAAAGAGCACAATTGGGAGACAGGGACAGAGTGTTGTCAGTCTCTAACAGGAAGTGTCTGAACAAGGACCTCCATGGCAGAATCACCAGGGATTATTTGAATAAGGGCTGTTAAAATTAATTGAAAAATAATTTTAAAAATTAATTAGATTATAATGGTTTACATCTACTTGAATAATGTTTTTCCAGATTCACCAATAGAAGGTACAAGGTGTTACACTGCATTGCATAGGATTGTGCATCTGGCTGGGTGGGAATGTTTTAGTGAAGTAAAAACAGGATATTCGGTACGAATGGAAAGGCTTCAATGGAAATTGAAGGAAATCAAACTCTGCTTCTACCAAGAACATTAGCTGGAAACTAAAGGCAGTACTCGGAGATTAATATGATATGAAAAGGAGCGCCAGAAGATCACACTGGATGTAATCAAAACAATATACATATTCCCGTTCTTGATTTTATTTAATTTCATAAGAGTATACAGTTTTTCATCTTTAAAACGCTCAACTAAACCACAGTGAACCATCCAAGAGGCACCTTGGGGAACCCATATGATAAAAGGGAACAACATGACCCTAGAGCTAGCTTTGTAGTGGGCTTCAAGCTTTAATTCAAAGCTGGTCTCATCGTGGTGGCTTGAGGCAGGAGCATTTTTGAAAGATTGGTTACAGCTCCCTTGGTTCTTCCAGAGCCAACATCAAAAACCACTGATATCTTTTCAATCTTCAGAAGCCAGGAAACAAACAATAAATGAGAGTGCGGATATGAAACTGAGTATATTTAAAAAAAAAAAAAAAAGTCAACTAGAGTTTGGCAAACATTAGTGCCCTTCACGGTTAGCCAGCAGATGAATTTAAACATAGTTGATGGGATTGTCCCAACGCGGGTACCATCTGCCCACTTTGTACTGTCCTACCAGCTGTTTCGAAACAAGGGACTGAAAAGTTCTGTCCAGATGATACGATAGAGATATCCCTTCCTTCGCAAAAGTAATAGAATAAAAAGCTAAAAGCACAGTTATGTGTCCAGGAGGACCTCTGGAAAAGCTATTTAGAGAAGGTGACCCTGGATCGGGCTTTGTAGTGGTCTTCAAACAGAGTGACATTGACTTGCCCCTTCCAGGAATGCCTACTTACTTCTTCCTTACATCTTTCAAAGCCTCAATCAAACCACTGATCTCCTACTTTTCACAAGCCCGGAAACAACCAATAAAGTGAATAAATACAAAAATGAGTTTATTTGCCACAAGGAAAGTCATCAACAACTTGGCTGACGTAAATGTTTTTTTCAGCTAACCAATGGATGAGTCAGTCCCGATGGGTTGCCCTAAAGGGGTCACCACTGTTCTATTTTCAAAAACACAATTTTCATTAAACACATCAGCATCAGCTTGGAGCAGTTGTCTAAAGAAAGGACCAAGTGACTCCAAATCAAGATTTATAATGGTCCTTGAGCCAAATCCAAAGCATACGTTGTTTTGCAAAGAGGCAGAACAATTCTTTAGATATTTTACAGCACCTTTGTCTCCTCCAGAGTCAAAAGTAGAACCAACATATCCCTTTGCTCTTTGGAAGCCACGCAAAAAAAGGTTGGAACATATAGATGGAATGTATTTGTTACAAAATTAAATCAAGGAGGGTTGGGCCCTCATAATTGTTTATTTCGGCCTATATATATGTGTGATGCGTTTGTGTACAGTCATTGGGTTTGTTCAACAAAGGAAGCATTACACTACTTCCAATTTAGCTTGATAGAACATTTCCATTCAAACTCTAGTTACGTCATAGAAATAGTATGAGTACAGTAGCCTATTTATGGTACATAGTGTAACTCCAGGCAAGCATGTATATGTATAAAGTGGGGAAGAGTAAGAACTTTTCTCGGAAGGAAGGAAAAGTTTCAATTCTGCTGAAAAAATAATGTTTTTTGTTGTTGTATTCCTGTTCCCCTTGCTCCTCCTTTTGGTGACTACAGGTGCTACTAAAATTTTTATACTCCAACTGACCACCAAACCTGAGACATTTTCTACGGTTATGTCCCACAGTCCGGACATAGTGAAGGACAAATTGATCCTTTGTTTAGAAAGTTTGGAGACCCCTGCTCTAAAGGAATTCAGGATTCCTATTCCTCCCATACTCTATCCAAAACTGAAACCTGGTCTTACACTTTAACCCACTGGGTAGCAGTGACCATAACATGATTTCATTTATTGTTAGCTGTAAACAGCAAGCACATACGGGAACAATAAAAACGCTCAATTTTAAGAGAGCTAATTTAGCAAGGCACAGAAATGGCACACTGCAAAATATATTCCCATGGGCAACAAGTTTAAAAGGCTAAAAATCAAACCCATGTGGCTTACGGACAAAGGTAAAAAAGCTATAGATAATAAGAAAAGAGCTTTTATTAAATATAAAAATTAAGGGACACTATCATCGTTTAAATATTACAAAGAATATGACAGAGTATGTAAAAAGGAAATAAAGGCTGCAAAAATTGAAAACGAATGACAGATTGCAAAAAATAGCAGGACCAACCCCAAAAAATTCTTCATATATTAATAGTAAAAAGGTTCGGTCCGATCATGTAGGCCCTTTACAGAATAATCTAGAGTGGTGACTGGGGACAAAGAGAAGGCAAATTTATTAAATCCCTTCTTCAGCTCTGTGTATACAAAGGAGCATGGGGGAGCTCTTGTCCATAATGGGGGGTGGTACTGACACAGCTGCAGATGATCCACATTGGCTCACAATTGATATGATCCAGAAATATTTTAGACAGAATAAAGGTGAATAAAGCACCTGGACCGGATGGCATACACCCACGGGGCCTTAAAGAATTGAGCTCTGTCATTTCAAAGCCATTGTTTCTAATTTTTTAGGGACTATTTAATGACTGGCATAGTACCACTGGATTGGCGTAAGGCCAATGTGGGGCCAATATTTAAAAAGGGATAAAAATCTTTACCAAGTAATTACAGACCTGTTAGTGTAACTTCTATAGTTGGGAAGATACTGGAGAGTTTAATAAAAGACCACATAGATGAGTTCTTGCTGGAAAAAAATATTTTAAGCAACACAGCATGGATTCATGAAAGACAGAAGTTGTCAAACAAATCTGATTTCTTTTTATGAGGAGGTGAGCAAAACCTTGGACAGAGGGGTGGCTGTAGATGGTATACTTGGACAGAGGGGGTGGCGGTGGGCGTGTTATACTTGGGCAGAGGGGTGGCGGTGGACATGGTTTACTTGGGCAGAGGGGTGGTGGTGGACGTGGTATACTTGGGCAGAGGGGTGGCTGTGGAAGTGGTATACTTGGACAGAGGGTAGGCTTTGGATGTGGTATGCTTGGACAGAGGGGTGGCAGTGGACGTGGTATACTTGGACAGAGGGGTGGCGGTGGATGTGGTATACTTGGACAGAGGGACGGGGGTTGGTGGTATACTTGGACAGAGGGGTGGGTGGGCGTGGTATACTTGGACAGAGGGGTGGGGTGGGCATGTGGTATACTTGGACAGAGGGGTGGCGGTGGATGTGGTATACTTGGACAGAGTGGGGTGGCAGTGGACGTGGGTATACTTGGACAGAGGGACGTGCGGTGGACGTGGTATACTTGGACAGAGGGGTGGCGGTGCGGGGGCGTGGTATACTTGGACAGAGGGGTGGCGGTGGGTGGATGGTATACTTGGACAGAGGGGTGGCGGTGGATGTGGTATACTTGGACAGAGGGGGTGGCTTTGGATGTGGTATACTTGGACAGAGGGGTGGCGGTGGACATGGTATACTTGGACAGAGGGGTGGGGATATGGTATACGACAGTGGGCTGTGTGGTATACTTGGACAGAGGGGTGGCGGTGGGCCGTGGTAAACTTGGACAGAGGGGTGGCGGTGGATGTGGTATACTTGGACAGAGGGGTGGTGGATGTATACTTGGACAGAGGGGTGGAGTGGACATGGGTATACTTGGACAGAGGGGGTGGGGTGGATATGGTATACTTGGACAGAGGGGTGGCGGTGGGCGTGGTATACTTGGGCAGAAGCACATAGCTCCCCCACACACGGCTAATGTGTAAGGTAAAGGCTACAGGCTTGGAAAAATCTGTGGTAAATATAGAAAACTTTGGTACAGAGAGTAGTGGTTAATGATTCATATCTGAATGGTGTGGGGTGTCAGTGGTGTACCCCAAGGTTCAGTGTTACCTTACTTTGGACAGAAAGAGGATAAAGGGTCTGAAATGATAAATCCCATTCAGTCTTTTGCAGATGACACCAAGCTGTGCCGTGGAATAACGTCCTTACAGGATGTATACCACTTACAAGCCGACCTCAAGGGTGTAATTGGGCAACGGTGAGATTTGTGGTTGATAAATATAAGGACTGAGGGGTGGCTAAGAATATGCATGTATCATACATACTAGGGGGGTACAACTGGGGGAATCAATGGTGGAGAAGGATCTGGGAGTTCTGGGATCACAAGTTTAATAATGGCAGCAATGCCAAGCTGCGGTTTCTAAAGCGAGCAAAATCCTCTCATTAAAAGAGGTATGAACTCCAGAGAGAGGATATCGGTACAAATCATTAGTAAGACTCATCCGGAATATGCAGTTCAATTTTGGGGCACAAGAAGAATTGGGGAACTGGAGAAAGTACAGAGAAGGGCAACCAAACTGATAAGGGGCATGGAGGAGATCAGCTATGAGGAAGATTAGAGGAACTGAATTATTCTCTCTTGATAAGAGTAGATTAAGGGGGGATATGATCTCCATGTATAATACATAAGGGGGATATGATCTCCATGTATAATACATAAGGGGGGTATGATCTCCATGTATAATACATAAGGGGGATATGATCTCCATGTACAATACATAAGGGGGGATATGATCTCCATGTATAATACATAAGGGGGGGATATGATCTCCATGTATAATACATAAGGGGGGATATGATCTCCATGTATAATACATAAGGGGGATATGATCACCATGTATAATACATAAGGGGGGATATGATCTCCATGTATAATACATAAGGGGGGATATGATCTCCATGTATAATACATAAGGGGGGATATGATCTCCATGTATAATACATAAGGGGGGATATGATCACCATGTATAATACATAAGGGGGATTTGATCTCCATGTATAATACATAAGGGGGGATATGATCTCCATGTATAATCACATAAGGGGGGATATGATCACCATGTATAATACATAAGGGGGGGTATGATCACCATGTATAATACATAAGGGGGGATATGATCACCATGTATAATACATAAGGGAGGGTATGTCTCACCATGTATAATACATAAGGGGGGTATGATCTCCATGTATAATACATAAGGGGGGGGTATGATCTCCATGTATAATACATAAGGGGGGGTATGATCTCCATGTATAATACATAAGGGGGGGATATGATCTCCATGTATAATACATAAGGGGGGATATGATCTCCATGTATAATACATAAGGGGGGATATGATCTCCATGTATAATACATAAGGGGGGGATATGATCTCCATGTATAATACATAAGGGAGGGATATGATCTCCATGTATAATACATAAGGGGGAGGGATATGATCTCCATGTATAATACATAAGGGGGGGGATATGATCTCCATGTATAATACATAAGGGGGGATATGATCTCCATGTATAATACATAAGGGGGGGGGATATGATCTCCATGTATAATAGATAAGGGGGGATATGATCTCCATGTATAATACATAAGGAGGGGATGTGATCACCATGTATAATACATAAGGAGGATATGATCTCCATGTATAATACATAAGGGGGGATATGATCTCCATGTATAATACATAAGGGAGGGATATGATCTCCATGTATAATACATAAGGGGGAGGGATATGATCTCCATGTATAATACATAAGGGGGAGGGATATGATCTCCATGTATAATACATAAGGGGGGGATATGATCTCCATGTATAATACATAAGGGGGGGGATATGATCTCCATGTATAATAGATAAGGGGGATATGATCTCCATGTATAATACATAAGGGGGGATGTGATCACCATGTATAATACATAAGGGGAGGATATGATCTCCATGTATAATACATAAGGGGGGATATGATCTCCATGTATAATACATAAGGGGGGATATGATCTCCATGTATAATACATAAGGGGGGATATGATCTCCATGTATAATACATAAGGGGGGATATGATCACCATGTATAATACATAAGGGGGATATGATCTCCATGTATAATACATAAGGGGGATATGATCTCCATGTATAATACATAAGGAGGGGATATGATCTCCATGTATAATACATAAGGGGGGATATGATCTCCATGTATAATACATAAGGGGGATATGATCTCCATGTATAATACATAAGGGGGGGATATGATCTCCATGTATAATACATAAGGGGGGGATATGATCTCCATGTATAATACATAAGGGGGGATATGATCTCCATGGGGGGATATGATCACCATGTATAATACATAAGGGGGATATGATCACCATGTATAATACATAAGGGGGATATGATCTCCATGTATAATACATAAGGGGGGGGGGATATGATCATGTATAATACATAAGGGGGGATATGATCTCCATGTATAATACATAAGGGGGGATATGATCTCCATGTATAATACATAAGGGGGGATATGATCTCCATGTATAATACATAAGGGGGGATATGATCTCCATGTATAATACATAAGGGGGGATATGATCTCCATGTATAATACATAAGGGGGATATGATCTCCATGTATAATACATAAGGGGGGGGATATGATCTCCATGTATAATACATAAGGGGGGGGGGGATATGATCATGTATAATACATCAGTGGTTCATATAGTGAACTCGGTGTAGAATTATTCACCCTGAGGTCATCACAGAGGACAAGGGGGCGCTCTTCACATCTGGAGAAAAAGAAATGTAATCTCCAAACGCAGAAAGGTTTCTTCACAGTAAGATCTGTGAAAATGTGGAATAGACTCCCTCAAGAGTTGGTTGTGGCCAGCTCAGTGGATTGCTGTAGGAAAGTCCTGGATTCTTTCTTGGATACACAGAATATAACTGGATATAACATTTATAGGGAACGTTGATCCAGGGAATATCAGATTGCCTCTCAGGGGATCAGGAAGGACTTTTTTCCCCTGCAGGAGCAAATCATACTTTGCTGGGTTTTTTGCCTTCCTCTGGATCAACTGTGGGTGTAGGATTATAACTTTTTTTTACTGGATGGACTTTTGTCTTTTTTCAGCCAGACTATGTAACTATGTAACCCCTCCCTATTCTATCCAAAGTTAAATATGAAATTTACAAATTTGTTTGAGTTTAAGCTTCATGCAAGGCAAATTTAATCTAAACAGCTTCATTGCATGGTAGGAGAATATTGGATTGAGTGTCTACAGCTTAATCGCTTCTTTTGAAACCATCTACGTTCTTCTACTTATTGAAAACCAAACAATGAGCAAAACAGAGAAAAAAAAATAACACTATATTTGTCTTATGAGAACGACAACAATGGCTTGGCTGGGATCACTGTCTTTCTGGTCTGACCAATAGAAGGGTCTGAGCACCGCTGATGGGTTGTCCAGAAGTGGTCACCATGGGCCTCTTTTCCACTATCTCACCAGCTGTTCCAAACACAAGGGACTGAAATGGCCTACCCTGACATTACGATGGAGGAGTTAGTGCCGTTGCCTTGCGTCTGTTCAAGCTTAAAATAGGTCCAGAGAGAATACTTCCATCCAAGACTCCCATTTTCGCGCCCGGACATTGGCCAATTTCAGTTCACGAGCCGCAGAAAGCCCATACAATACCAAATGGTCACTAGAGGTATACTCCCAAATTACATTATGTATTCTCTACTTTTCCTGGATGGACTCCCAGAACCTTTAAAATATTCAGCTTTCCTAAACAATAACGGAATTTAAGCCTACGCAGGATATGGACTTAAAATAATCCCGACGGTGCTGGTGGAATTCAGATCAATGTCTAATGTTTTTCTTTTTTTTTTTTTTTTTTTTCAAAAGGAGAAATTCTTACAACCACTTAAGTTATTCTATATTTCATGAGTCGAGTTGAAGTTTTCCCGTTGAGCTGCTAACACATATGGAAAGGCTAAGCCGAATGTAGCGTTGAAGTCATCTAAGGGACTCCCCCCCTCGGGTGTCAAGGAATTGCATTTACAACTGCCCCCTGCCTGCCTTGTCACATAAAAAGTGGCATGTTTTTTCACTTCCATATTTCGGGTGTGAATTAAATCCTTGCTGTCCTTTCTGTTCTCAAGGAGAAAGCCTGGTACGGCCATCAAAAGGACTGCC